TTTGCATATGTACATGCCTTTATTTAGACCTCTATAAATGCCCTTTGCCTCCTAGCTCTTTCCTCTATTTCCTTTGACTTTCCTCTTGTCCCACTATCTTGCTCAGTCTTCATTTGGGTTTCAGTACATTATTGTTTTTTAAGCAAATTTAGGTCTCTCCTTGTATACCGATTTGTAATTTGTCTTCCTCATCTCATACTTAAAATACTAAATTTCCTGTTTACATTTCCAGTGCTGATACAACTCTACCTCACTGGTTATAGTGACTGTTTAGGACTTCCACTATATAATTTACACTTGTGTAAATTTCACCAGTACCCTACCAATAGTTTAGACTGTTTCTGTAATTTTTAAAAATATATAAACAACACCTCATTGAACATCTTTGTGCACACCACATTGTATTACAATACTTTAAAAAATGCTTTTGCCTGTAGCATCCCATAAACCTTTAAAACATAGGTACTTTTTGTTATTGTTTGTGGCTAGATTTTATTTGGATTTTTAATATAACTTTACCACTTTCAGAAAACGGTAGCTCTTTCTAAAATAGAGTAGTAGAACAAATATTAAAGATTATAACTCCAAACTGTTACAAAGTAGTAACAGTGAGATTGATTATGGAGATGACGGGCTGTGTTGGACTTTCTGCACATCTGTATATCACAGCAGTCATTATCTCTAATTTAAGAAAATAAAAGGAAAAACTATTATGAGATACATGCAAGTTATGAAATTTTAGATATGGGTAGAGAAAACATTCAGCCATTAAGCAATTACAGTACTTGGAGTTGCTTAGCATATTAGTCTGTTTTCCTTTGGGTTTCATTTCCATTAATTATAAAACTACTTTATAAACATGTTTATGTTTCCATACATAAGGAAACTTCACAATGTTCCTGGGAAAGTGCCATTGTCTTTCAATTCTACTTTTCCGCTTTTTGAAGCATATATATATATATATATAAATTTTGTGTGTGTGTGAGACTAGTTTCACCTTATAAGCATTTCCGTATCCTATTAAAACCTACAAAAATATACTTTTCAAACTGCACTAGAATTATCTCTTTTTCTGGAAGAGAGAGTCTGGCATGTCGTAGCTTGGAACTAACATTTGCAAAGCCAAAGTGCAAGTTCAGCGATGTTGAACAAAGTTGGGTAATGTGCTCACACTTACCACAGGATGCACATGAGGCCCACAGGCCCGAGCTACGCCTCTCAGTGGTACCACACATGCTGTTCTGCAGGAAATCACTAATTGGGATGTGTTTCTAGCTGAGTTGTTATAATGTTTTAATCTGTTTCAGTGATTTCAGGACCAGGGGCAACCAAGATAGAACCAGCTCTGACGTCAGCCCCATCTGCCGCCGGACAGTTTGGGAAGCCTTTCTCATTTTCCTCATCAGGGTCAGTAATCAGCTTAAATCTGGGGGTAGATCACCTTACAGCAAGCAGGCCCAAAGCTTATGCTCAGTAGGGGTTTTGATACTGTTTTGTTGTTTTCCATTTAATCTGTGCAGTAAAGCAGCTTCTTCATTGTTCTCAAGGTTATTTCTGAGTTGCAGAAATTATCTGCCCCCTTTTCTTTGTCCCTGGTTTTAGTAATTGTTGCATTTCCCCATTCATTCTTGACTGCCACAGTCAGACAGAAAGTGGAAAGAGGAACCATTTTGCCTACGTCAGTAGTGGGAACCTTGGTGGCAGACATTGGCTGCCCTGGGTCTGCAGTAGATGCAAAAGCAGCGGACATATACAGCCTATCATGCTGACAGTCTCTTAATGTCTTAATATAAATTTCTCTTGTGGGGTTCGAGTTTTTGCATATATTATTGTTATACATTACTATCGCATATATTTGCATATATTATTACATATTTGTTTTGCTTTTGAGGTCAGCTACATTTTGAGCTACGGATCCGGGTAAATTCAGTTGTTAGTCTAGTACATCATGCTAGTGTCTTTCCTCGGCCTCTGTTCCTGCATTGAGAGCTCAGTATACTGAACCTAAAGGAGATAGATAATAAAAGACACGCGTGGTTTGAACACTCAGGTTTTAGATGGATGTTGAAAAACTATGTTGCTGTTTTCTCCTCCATAATGATGGCTGTTATCTGTAAGATGTCAGTCATTTCTAAAAACGAGCAAGTCTAAACCGCCTCTCTAGTGAGCTCTCCTTAACCTTCGCAGGAGTATGCCATTTCTCCGAAGGCCAGTTTCTCCGGGTGCTGAGGCGGGCGCTCGCCGGCGCTCATGTGGAATGGTGTTTGGTTCTGTCTGGCTGAGAGTGACTGCCATCCCCATTGTAAAAGCTGCTTAAGGACTGTCAGTTGATGTTTTGGAATTGGAATCCAGTTACCCTCAGCCTTTCCCCCGATCTGTTCACACATTTCTTGAACGTTCTTCTTTCTCCCTAACACACAGCAAGGACAGAGCATTAGAAAATAATTTCGGGGAAGGAAATTGTGTATTCTATATAGACCTTTTTTCTTTATTATAAAATCATGGTGTTGCTTTGTTTTTCAATACCTCCCAAAGGTAGTTTGGAGTCCATTTTAAAGGGTAGGTCACTGCCAAGAATTAGTGCATCCTTTACAAATCCTAATGCCCTTTCAAAAATAAGATGGGAAGGTCTGGGCCAGTGGGTCAGTGGTTTATCTCAGTAGATAAAATGTCTTCACCTAGCCTGAGGCTTACTGACAAGAACACATTTTTTTTAACGTGATAAATGTCTGGCACATCTTCTAGGTGATCTTTGTCCATTTGAAGAAAGCAATGACAAGGAGAAAGTCTAAGTCTTTACGTTACTTACTGTATTTGACATGGTCAGTCCCTTGTAAGTAAACGCTTTATTTGCGCTCTGAGTTCTATCACAGTGAATAGTCATATTTTGAGTCACAATTGTGCGGCACTTTCCTCGGGTTCTGGGGTCTTTATTCACAGTGTGGAGAGAGGAGTTGATGAAGGTCAGATTTCCCCAGCTTAGAACCAGGAGCGCTGTCAAGAAGGCAGAGTCAGGCATCTGGTTCTGTGTCCGCCCTCCGCGTGTGCTGCAGTCTTGGTGGGATTATGAGATGCTGGCCCTAACCCAGCCACTTCAGCATTGCCTGACTTTTCTTCTACCACTTAATCTGCTCTGTCTTCCATTTCCAAGTGCACATTCCTGGTGCCTTTTTCTTCCTCCTCTTTAGCTCCTCCGCTTTACTTGGGATAGGTCCCCATCTAAACCCCGATGGCTGACATTTCCAAGACGTTCTTGATAGCTAGTACATTTCCCCTTCTTCCACAAATTGCCTCTCCCTGCTTCAAGATCTTGGCGCATTGGACATTTCTGAGCTAGGCCCTTGTACCTACCTTTTGTTTACCTTACAGATTGCAAATTCCTCGAGAGCAGTTGAGCGAGTTACGGAAGGGCAAGATGATGCCTTAGGTGTGTTCTTTTCTAACTTCTCTTCTTCCACTCCCTAGGACTGGCTTTAATTTTGGGATGCTCACATCAACACCAGCTTCTAATTTTACTGCTGCCCAAGGTACAGTCTCTGCTTTGCATCTCTTTATTTTTGTGTTTCTCCAGAACAAGTCCGGGTTGTTTTTTATAGATGTGTTGGCATTTCACCGGCCGCTGAACCTTGGTTAAATTTCTATCTGCAAGTTTGGTGTTAATAGTGCACATTAAAAATAGGTTTCATTTAAGAAATGGATGGAACGGATTTCTGGTTATTTTTATAATTAAAGGAAAGGCATGGTTCTGGGAAATTGAGGCTGTGCATTGGTATGCTACTGTTAACATGTGCTTGAGAATTTCCTTCTCCGTTTTCATCTGTCTGCCATTTAACATGTCGGAGTTCGTAGGACAGTTCTTCTGTAGAGCAAGATATTCAGAGTCCCTTGGAACACTCTGCCTTGCCTTGGCTTGTCCCCTTGGTAACATTAAAGTAAACACACTGGTCCCTTGCATGCTTTCACAGATCTGTCTATTGGGATGTTGTTAATGCTTTAAAAACTTCAAGACCTGTGAAGAAATAAATTGTATTTTCCAATGCCTCCCTGTTGTGCAGTAAGTAATTCGATTTAGTTTTCTTTTATTATTCAATAATTGCTATTGAAGAAGCTATGGAAATTAAAAACAAACGAAAACCTAACCCACTGCCATCGATGTCGATTCTGACTCACGGCAACGTGATTGGACGGAGTAGAAGTGCGTCTAGGGTCTCTGAGACTGTACGTCCTTCTCCCACAGAGCGTCAGGGGATTTGAATCACTGACCTTGGGTTCGGCAGACCAGCTCATAACCCACTGTGCCACAGGGGCTCCTTTGTGAATAACAACATCACGAGGGAGTTAAGCCACCCGATGCCCTTAGTGACAACTTGTTATTGTGCTATATTTCCTTTGGGGATTCTAGCTTCTGGAGTGATTTTTTTTTTTTAATCATTTTTTGGGGGTTAGGGGGGCTCTTACAGCTCTTACAACATTCCGTACATCAGTTGTATCAAGCACATTTGTACATGTGCTGCATATCATTTTTTAAACATTTTTTTTCTGTTTGAGCCCATGGTATCAGCTCCTCTTTCTTCCCTCCTTCCCCATGGAGTGATTTTGTTTGTTTTTTCCCTGTGTCACATAATTTCTTAAGAATTTTCTAATATAATTGAAAAGTATTGTATAAGTATGGCTAATCATATTATGGATCCACTATCATTGATTTAACCACTCCCCTACTGGAATTTTTAAGTTAATATTTCCAGGTTTTCCCTGTAATAAGTAACGTCATGGCCATCTTTCATTTTACTACTCAGCAGGTTTTTTTGACAGTATTCTGTGTGCCAGGCGAAATGTTGTAAGCTTCTGAGTAAGCTTCTTGGAGACTTGGAGGAGCTGACGGCCTAGCAGACTCCCCATGCCTGATTCGTGTGCGGCACTCCAAGTGTTGATCACTGTGTTCCTTCTTGGCTACGGGCATTCTGAAATGTGTCTTTGAACCTTTGCAACCCTTAATTGTATATGGACGTGGTTGTCTATATAGTGACACTTTATTTGCCCATGAAACCCCCAAACTGACAGGCCTCCCTTGTGGAGCAGTGTCTGGTCTCTCAGGAGGTCCCTTGGCCATGGCCCCTGGCTAGCACTTGCCGCAGGAGGTGTTGAGGAAGGCACACCGAGCCACTGGGAAATGAAGGAAGCTGCCGTTGTCTTCCTCTCCTGGGATAATCGGGTATCACCACGTATTCTAGGCATCTTGTAACTGGTGTGATTGAATGACCACCGAAAGAACCATAGTTCCTTGTGACCTCATTGAGACGCTTAAACAGTACCATGCCGCCGCTCAGAAACATGCATGTGTCCTCGCCGAAGACAACTGCCATTAGAACAAAGGATGCCGGCTTTCACAAAGGGCCGGTGGAGCCCCGGGCTTAGAAATGGTGGAAATGTGTGTGAGCGGACGTTATTTTGCTCACCAACTCACTTCTGAATTTCTTTTTCTTGCCAGGGCTAACACCTCCCCCAAAAGAGTCAACTCAGCTTGATGCACCCTCATTTAGCGGCGGCAGCAGACCTTGCCATGAGACAGCTTCCGAAAGCCCTCCTTCAGGAACCACGGCAGTCACGCATGCCACCGGCACTGTAGCTGCTGCTTCAGGAGAGTGCGTTCCGTCTAACAGCAAACTCACGCCAGCAGCGGGCATTGCTCTTTCCACATCCTCTACCAAGCCAGAAACACCTACGTCAAAGTTGGGGGAGCTTCTGTTTCCAAATTCTCTAGCTGGAGAGACGCTAGGAAGTTTTTCAGGACTGCGCGTGGGCCAAGCAGATGAAGCTGCATCGTCAACCAATAAGGCTTCATCTCCAAGCCCAACTAGCGTACAGTCAACCCAAGCTTCAACTGTACCTTCAGGGTTCACTTTTACCAGCCCTCCAGTGTCCGGGAAGCCTGTGGAGCCCTCTGAGAGCTCCCCCACGGTAGCGCCAGCAGCAGCAGCCAGCACAGGCACCAGCAGTCCCTCGGCTGGTGGTTTTGGCAGCCTGTCCCTCTCCAGTGCAGGCTCCTCTGGGGCAATCAATTTTGGTGGGACGTCTTTAAGTGGTGGCAAGATGACTTTTTCATTTGGAAGCCCACAGACCAGTAGTAGTGCAGTGACCCCATCTGTCCCACCATCGACTTCGACTGTCACTTCCCTTCCTGTATCTGTCCCCATATTGTCACTCGGTAACCTGCTAGGTCCATCTGCCCCTGCCCAGCCTGTGTCCTCTGGTAAAAGCACAGAGGAGGCCCCATCACCAGCTTTGCCCGAGAAGCCCGAGAGCAGTGAGGCTGCGGCGGCAATCGGCTTACTGCTAGGGCAGCCACAGCCAGCCCAGCTGGCCCATGCTCCCCTGCAGACTTCCGAGTCTGCTCCCAAAGAGCCTGCGCTCGCCCCGCCTGTGAGCAGCAGCAGCTCCGCCACCGCCACGTCTCCTGCCATCCTCGCGGCACCTCCTGCAGAGACCACTCCAGCGGCGCCCGGGGTCCCTGACTTGAAGACAGAGGCAGCATTGCCAGCATCCACTTTCTTGGCACCTGGGCAAACTGCTGTCACCGCAGCGACAGCCACAGGTGCCGTCCCGGTGGCTGCTGAAACATCTAGCAGCCCCACAGCCTGCAGCCCTGTGTCCGGTACCGCTCCAAGCCCAGCTACAGAGACAGCAGTGTTTGGGACTGTCACCTCTGGCTCATCTGTCTTTACTCAGCCACCTGCTGCCAGTTCTAGCTCAGCTTTCAGCCAGCTCACCAACAACACAGCCACAACCCCTGCCACTACCCCTGTGTTTGGGCAGGTGGCGGCCAGCACGGCACCAAACCTTTTTGGACAGCAGACAGGCAGCGTAGCCAGCACAGCAGCCTCTACAGCACCGGTCAGCAGCTCAGGGTTTGGTGGCCCCGCTTTTGGCACCTCAGCCTCAGGGGTCTTTGGACAAGCACCCTTTGGGCAGGCCCCAGCCTTTGGGCAGCCCACAAGCAGCTCCACAAGTGGCTTCTCCTTCAGTCAGTCTGGCTTCAGTTCTGTGCCTGCTTTCGGGCAGTCCATCTCCTCCACCCCCACGTCGACCAGCGGGAATGTCTTTGGCCCCTCCTCGAGTGCCAGCAGCTCCAGCTCCTTCTCGTTTGGACAGTCTTCTGCCGGCACAGGAGGGGGGCTGTTTGGCCAAAGCAATGCTCCTGCTTTTGGTCAGAGCCCAGGCTTTGGGCAGGGAGGCTCTGTTTTCGGTAGTACCTCAGCCGCCACCACCACAGCCTCGACCTCCGGCTTTAGCTTTTGTCAAGCCTCAGGTAAGAACCCATGGATGCACGTTCACCCCGTGCCCCTCCTGTGCTCTTGGCACCTGCGGCGAGGCCGCACTCATTTCGTAAGGAAGAGCGAGTGCGCTCAGATGGCAAAGAAGCTGTGAACGCAAGGGGCTCTGGAGCGCTGGAGGTCTCGTTTCTTTGGCCTAATTGGGTGAAGCTGGCACCGCGACCTGTACTTCTGTCGCTTTGGTGCTCAGCATGCTCTCCACTCAGCCACCAGCGTCCAATGTCATGGGCCAAGGACAAGGAGCACTAGTTTCAGGCCATCGCCAGAAATTGCAGGGCTCGTGAATGACATTTTGAAGTGGGATCCAGCTTTAAAAGCCATTGTGTCCAAATTTCTCAAGCCTAGAGGTGATGGGTTTCGTGTCCCAGAGTGCTAATGGAGCCAGAAGACTCCAGGTCTCCCTAGCCCTCTGCTGAGCTTATGGTCTCTGTCTCTCCAGCCCCTTGGTCTTGCTAGGCCACAGAGTGGTAGAACAGTGGTGGAGAGTGTGGTCATTTTTTAAAACACAGACTTTGGGGGGAGAACGTAGTCCGTTTTGCTTGTGAAAGTTGTCAGTAAGCCAGGCCATTGGGAAGTCTTTCTTAGTCCTGAGGCTGTCTGGTGACAGAAAGACAGATCTGTACCAATTCGTTTCTAGGGGAAAAGCAGAGATCGAGGATTCCATGATGGGCAAGATTGCAGGTAGCTGCTCATTCCTTCTTGAATAATCATTTCTTTGAGAATGGTTCATATTCATTAAAAGAGAATGTATTTCTTCCTTCCATTCGACAAATGTTATTAAACTCCGACTAAGTTGGAAGTGCTGTTCGGCTCTGAGGACACCAGGGTGAAAAGACTGGCTCAAGTTTGAGATCGCCTTCACACCTGTGGAGAGGCCAGTTGGCCCATTTGAAAGACGGGAGGTGTAGTGTCCTGAGAGTTGTGCATCTTAACTATTCCAGCACAATTCAGAAGCCCTAGAGAAATCGTCATTCAGTTAGTAACCCCGGCTGACAGACGACTTAAGACTCGCTTAAGCCCACCCACCAGCCAGCTCAGCGACGGGAACTGAACAGAGCGGCTCCTGCCTTTATGTGAGATGCGCTTCTTACAGGGACTGGTGTTGCCTGGTGGTCGCGGGTCCTTCCACCACGTATGTCACCTGAAGAGAAGCTACCGTGAAAACTCTGCTACTTCAGGTTCCGAGGAAGCGGGGAGTAGAGGCATTCGTAGTGTCACAGGATTCCTGGTGGTTTGAAGTGTGGAGAGGGGATATCTTTTGAACATCCAAGTGGGCTTCAGAGACTTTTTTGAAAAATTCCCTTGTCTTTGAGTTCTATTTTTCCCTCAACCTTTGGGGAGCACCCTCATATACCACCTTATTAGCTCCTATCCATTCGTGACTTGGTAGAAGAAAAGGATTTAATCCTTGGGACTTTGCAATCGATACTGTAATATATATAGTTATCAATGAAAAGGTCTTCAAATGGATTTCTATGAATTTTCTCCATTTTCTGCCCAAGGAAACCATTTGCTCATAAGTTTACTTTTAGCATACCTGAACACCATTTTTAAAGTAAACAAAAACTTTGGTGTCGTAAAAGACTAACTGACCCTTTCCTTTGTGTTGCACAGGTTTTGGGCCTAGCGGTACTGGGTCTGTGTTTGGTCAAGCAGCCGGTAGTGGTGGGACAGTCTTTGGCCAGGTAAATATTGTGGTCTCACCTGACACCAAACCGTCTACTTTTTGCCTCTAGCATGTGATTCGCTCCCACTGTGTGTCCAGTCCCAGCAGAGACTTGAGTGGTTCTTTAGCTCCACCCTTTTTACTCCCTCAGGTACACACGTAGGTCTCAGCCTCTGCCGTGAGTCACTGGAACTTTGGTCCTTTTGTGACAGCCTGTTAGTAAAGCTCTTTAAAATCCCATTGCCCGCTTTCCCATCAGTCGACTGCCTTTTCTGTTACTCACAATTGGCAGACCACTTCCTCCCCTTAGCCTTGATCATGTTTGTCTGTGTGAGAGATTTAAGGTTCTCGAGTTAAGAATGCTTTTATATTTTTTAGTGGTTGTTTAAAAAAAAAAATTAAAGACCAGCTATGAGCCACAAAGTTAGAATACTTACTCTCTGGCTCCTACAGAGAATGGTTTGGGTCGCTGTGCTAATCTGTGTGTGGTCCCGGGCCGCCTCTAGATGACCTGAGCTCTTGGTTTCCGTTTAGATAGCTGGTAGTCGTGATGCCTCAGGCATAGAGTCCCCTGTGTTACTACAGATAGTCCCAGGTTACGAATGAGATCTGTTCCTAACTGTGTCTTTTTAAGAATGGTAGGTAAGTCAGAGCAGGTGCATGCAGTTCTTAGGGGCCTTTCTCTAATGCAAGACCTTTCCAGTGACGCTGTCTGTCCAGCAAGTGAAGGTAATTGTGAAGAATTTGTTGCAACTAGGAATTTGTTGTTTGAAAGCGAAAAGACACTTTTACCGCATTTAAGTCAGAACTCGGGGACTGCCTATGACCTCATTTGATTATCACAGCACCTCTAGAAGGGGGTGCTGCTATGCCCATTTGTCAGATGAGGATTCTGCCCAGAGAGAGCTTACAATTACTGTCCTTCCCACACGGACTGCTTTTAGCTCCTAGTAGCCTCATTAGGAATCCTTCAGTAGAAAGGATGTGTTGGAAATGATCGTGACAATGAGCGTCAGAACTGGCACACATCTTCACACGTGGTTTAAGCCCTTGTCAGTCATAGTTACGTTTTGTGCACATCTTTCGGGACTTTCTTTATCGTCTGTTCTCTCCTTTCAGAGATGGGCACTGCCCTTGTCAGTGTTGGGTCCGTCAAGTCAAATTTCCTGCTGAAAATGCTAGTTTAAGCACAAAAACCATCTTTACAGTGAGGAGTGAACACGCTCCTTTACCCAGCCAAATTACAAAGGTCACAGAGGCCAATTGTGCTCAGAGGGCATTTGCTAATCTAGGAGCATTTGGATTATCTGTTTCATAACCGCAAAAGGCAAGGTTATGGAAATCACAGACCAAGATAGGTGGACATTTTAAAGGAGACCCAACCCATGACAGCCTGGGTGCACATGGCTCCACTCGAGGCTGTGCCCGTGTCCTGACTTGGTCCTGGCATGGTGGAGCCTACAGCTGCTCCCCAGAAGCATCCCAGATCCACTCTGAAGACAAATAAGCGTATGTCTAGACCACGTGTGGTTCTTACAGACACGTGTTAAGGATGTTGACTTCCACTACTCATGAGTTTAAATCTGAATTGATGGCAGTAGCATTTGGGGGTATGTTAGGTGCACATCGAAACTAGGAACAATAATTGACAGCCAGAATAAACATCAGAAACAAATTTGCGAAGTTTCCGGGGCCAGCAAGGAATAGAAACTTACAAGACACTGGTGGTGTTGATGAGTGTCTGAACTGTTGAATACACAGGAGATGTTCTGAAATGTAAGTCTTCTACCTAATTAAAAAAATTTTTTTTAATTCAGAAAAAATTCTAAGAAATGCCATAGATGCTCTGAAAAAAATTTTTCTAAGTTAATTCGGTAAACAAAATTTAAAACTCAACAGATGGATCGGACAGCCGAGTAGACCCAGCTAAATAGAGCAGTAATGTACTACAAGATCAGGAGTCTGCTTTTTTTCTAAAAAGTTCATAACAGTGGGTATTTTAGCTTTTGAAGGCTACAGATAGTTTTATTGTAACTACTCCACTGCTCTTGTAGCACAAATGTGCTGAATGCTGGACCATCACTATGTCCCATTAAACCTTCATTTATAAAAGCAAGTAGTAAGCCAGAGGTAACAGGTTGTAATTTGCCACCTCTTGCCCAAGAAGGTAAGGCAGAAGAAATGGTCTAGACTGCATCCTAGCAAGCAAGAAGTTGAAAAAGTAGGACAGTGAGAGCGGAGCCCCTAAAAGAAAAAAAGATGGACCATCCTTTTCGTCAGAGTCCCAGAAAGAGGAGAGGAAAAGTGTAGGAAGAGAAGAGAAAAGGAATTTTCCCAAGGTAGGAGGAAGCAGTAATCCACAGATTCCAAAAAGCCCAACAAACGGCACTGTGTGAAAGGACGTCAGCTCTTAGCCTAGGGAAACTGCAGGACGACAAGGAGAACGAACCAAGACCGCCGGAGAACAAAAGGCAGCAGTTACCTGAGGGGCGATGTGTCTGCAGCAGTGAGGTGTCTCTTCTAATCCCAGCAAAAACACTCTTACAGAAGCAAAGGAAGCCAAGACCTTGTCCAGACAAATCCTGAGAGAATCGGTGTCTGGCTGACCTAAAGGAGATTCTAATAGCTATTCTTCAGGCACTCCATAGAAGGCTTGAAATACAAGGAGTGAAAAAAATCTTAAGTAAATAAATTTATCCTGCTGATTAATCCTACCGCCCTTTTAAAGTGGCCACTTATACAATATTAATAGCACACCTGGAGGATAAGAACATTAACATTGGTTGAGAGGAGAGAGAGGGGATTTCAAGGGTCCTGGGAGTCGGAGTGGACTCAGTGGCAGTGAGTTTGGTTTTTTGTTTAAGGTTTTTCGTCAGAACCCTGGAGGCTGGTCCGAGTGCAGTGGGGCCACAGCTGACGATCACAGCCAGTTACAGGTTCTTCCTCTGTTCTTCCTCCACCGCCACGGCTTCACTTGACCGGCCTCTAAAAGAAGAGCCCTGGAGACTGTCAGAGAGCACTGGTCTGTTAACCAAAAAGGTAGGTGGTTCAAACCACCGGCCACTGTGCAGGAGAAAGATGAGGCTGCTTGCTCCTGTGAAGATTTACAGCCTTAGAAACGCTGTATACAGTGCCCGTAAACCAGAATTGACTACAGCTGCCCTTGACCACCCCAAAGAAGGGGAGTGATTTGTGACTTGGACAGTTCAGTGTGCATCTAAGAATTTTTGGAGGAAACATCTTAAAAAAATGAAAACAAAATCTATGGTATCCAAACTAGTAAGGGTGGGAGATGGAATCGTGAAGAAGCTAACCTTTAATAACATAATTAACAAACTTAACTAGAAAACAATAGCCAGTAATTATATTCTGTATCCTGTTTTCAAGAGCACACAGAATGGTTACTTCCTTGATCATAGTGTCTCTCTGTTGTAATTCGTAAGGATTGATATGGAATATGTTCTGTGACCACGGTACGACTGAGCTAAATACTGGTAAGAGAGATAATGACAATGAAACTCTCCTCACCTGCCCAGAAAATAAGATTGATTCCAAGTAAACAAAAACAAATTAATCATCATTGAATTGGAAAATAATGTGAACTAATAAAAATGGAAATATTAACTATATCAGTACATAGAAGGAGAGGTGTAATACAGGAATGTAAACATTAAAGAAGGAAGAACAAACTCAAACTCTGTGCCGTCGAGTCAGCTGCCGCTTGTAGAACTGCGCCTGTGGGTTTCTGGGATTGTAACTCTCCACTGGAATAGACAGCTCGTCTTTTTCCCAATCGAGAGGAAGAAAGACTAAAAGTCATGAAGTTATTTAGCATTCCACTAACATAATTGGAACACAAAAAGGAGACTCGGCATTCCCAGTGCTGCTGGCATGACAATAAAATGTAAATTTTAGGCAAAGTGGATAAATTTCTATTTTAAAAAAAAGCCTGACAACAAATTATGCTTTAAAAAAAGCCTGACTTGGAGTGAAATGACAAACTTGAATATAAAGATTTAAGAAATCAAATCAGTTGTCAACATTTTTCCTCCCCAAATCTTAAGAAAACTTTATTGGGAGTATCTACTGAATATTAACGGAAGAGATAATACTTGCCTCACATGAACATTTTCTGGTAAGAACGAAGGGCACATTCCTCAACTTCCTTTATGAGCCTTACATAAATAAACTTTTAGGCCAGACTTCTCCTGAACGCCCCTACAGAGGGCCCAGACACAATGGTACCCAGCCTGGCCCATGCTTCGATGGCCCGCGGATTTTCACCACAGGTGCCAAGTGGGTTCTTCTCGGTCCACACGTGAAATCAGCCCAAAGTGCAACAGGGGCCCAGTTCATAGACAGCACCGTGAAGCTCAGCAGGAGTTTGTTTTCAGCAGTGACTTCTTAGATTTCACCCGAAAAGCATGAGCAGCCAAAACAAACAAACAAACAAACGTTGAATTGGACTTCACGATTTTAAAACTTTGTGCAGGGGGAAAAAAATCATTCAACGATGAAACCTGTTTCCGTGAGTGGCTTCTGGCTCTGCATCAAAGCAGAGTAACACTGCCCCTAGGGTTTCCAAGGCTGTAAACCAGCGCTTCTCCACCTTCCTCAGGCCGCGGCCCTGTCAGACAGTTCCTCATGTGGGACCCCCCAACCGTAACATTATTTTCCTTGCTACTTCATAACTGTCATTTTACTACTGTTATGAATCCGGCAACCCCTGTGCAAGGGTCGTTCGACCCCCCTAAGGGGTCACAACCCACAGGTTGAGAACCACTGTAGGCAGCGTGGAACTTTCCCCATGGGATTTCCAGGGCTGGGGTCTGTACAGAAGTTGAATTCTTTGGGGCAGGACTAGCGAGATGGAGATGATACCACTTTACGCATACAGACCCAGAAGGAGGGAGGGTATGTCAGGAAACCATTGCTTCACGTTTGGGTTTTTTTTTTTTAATAAGGTTTCCATGATTTTTGTAGCAGTTCTTTTTTTTTTTTTAACTTTCATATCAACCACTGTCAATGTATGGACTTATTTAGATTTTAATTCGAAGAAATGAACTGAAAGTAGCTATTTATGAGACAGTTGGAAATTTGAGCTTTCTCTATTCAGTGATAGTAAGGAGTGATTCTCAACGTATGGAAACATTTTGGCATTGTGTTTGTGGTTTATGCCTTAAGAGAGCATGAAACTCTGTGGATGAGCTGATGGGGTGACCCTAATGCAAGAGACGAGCAGTGAAGGAGGGCCATAGAGCCAGCCAGCGGTAGACGCTGGTAAACGCCGAGGCAGGATGATAGGGGTTCGTTTAACAATTCTGTCTACTTGTACATCCTTAAAGTTTCCATAATTGTTCACAACGGGTGCACAGGATCTTCAAACCCACGTATGGGAATATAGTAGCTATCAATTCATACTCATTGCAGTGAAGTAGGAGCTACTTTGGGTCATGTTTACAGTTTATCAAATCACATTTTAAAACTAAGGTTGATTCATAGGACACTGCTTTTGTGTAGGGCAAACATGTCCCTATATTGGCCGATTTCATATATTTCAGCTTATTACCCCTGAGATTCATCTGAAAAGTCTGACACTCTGTTTCTACGTGCCTGGGTTAGTTGTCGTGTCCAGTCAAAGGCCATTTCCTCATTACCCAAGCTTACACTCTTATGATCGGAAGCCAGGTTTGTCAGAGCCGTTGCTCGTCATTAAATGGTTGTAATACACTCTTTTTGTGCAGAAAGACAAGAAGGAAAGAAAGAGCCCTGTGACGCACCCGGGCAAGAACACTGGAGGGGGGAGGAGTAGCAAGTCCCTGCCCTCCAGCACACAGGAGCCTGATGTGTTCAAGGCACACACACACACACACACACACACACACACACACACACACACGCCATCGAGCCGGTACACAGCAGGACAGGCCGCCCTCTGAAGTCTGACTGGACCGCTGTGTGACGAACAGGTGGTAGTGCTCGCAGAAACCAGCCCGTCCAAGCCAGCGCTTCTCAACCTGGGGCTCGAACGCCCCTTTCACAGGGGTCACCTGATTCATCACAGTAGCAAAATGACAGTGATGAAGTAGCAACGAGAATAATGTTACGGTTGGGGGGTCACACCACATGAGGAACTAACTGTATGAAAGGGTGGCAGTATGAGGCAGGTTGAGAACCACTGGTCCAAGCAAAGGCGAGAGTAGCCTGGACTAGGTGGTGGCTGCGTGCCTGCCCGTGGTGGGTACATCGGGGGGTGGATAAGTAACCCACTGGAGGAGTGCCTTTTGAGAGAACTCGGTGAAAAGGGCAGCAGACAGTGAACAGCAGCTCTCTGTTGAGTGAGTGTGTACTTAAAGTGTGCTCCGTTTAACGCACTCACCTCTTCAAGCTCGGGTTTGTTCTCCCCTTTTCGCAGGAAAAGCCCCTGCACACAGTAAGCCGTTGCTAAAACCGTGTCGTAGCCTACATTATCATCCGAGGCAGTGTCACCGTTAAGGACTGTTAATGGCTCCTCAAGCCTAGCCCTGGTCTGTCTTAAAGAGCCTGTTTCCCAACAAAAATTCCTGTTTATCTGCTGCCTGGTGCCGCTCTGAGTCGGGCTGTGTCCCTAAGCGAACAGCATCCTCTGAGCATGACATCTGCAAATTTGGGCAGAATTCTGCCTTGGTTATCGTTTCCGCAGCCCTGGGAAAGTCCTTAGGAAATAAAGTGCGCAAACTGGGAGAAAAGACTGAAGCCCTCGCCATCGGTTGCTGATGAGTTCAGTCACACGCTACAGGAATCAGAAGTGTTGGTGCCTATCCGTGTTTTCAGACGGTTCATTCTGGAAAACTCTTGAGTTTTTCTGCCCCTGGCAACATGTTGTGCGGAGATTGAAGGCAGCGGAGCAGATACACATCTGAAGCATTCAGCTCCATGCTCTCAGAACTCCGGTACTTCCTTGAGGAAGTCCCTGTCCAGGGCCCAGCTGCTTTTGTGGCGATCAGAACTTCACCCCCGAGCTGCTGCTCAGAGTTCCCCTGCCGTTCCCATGTGTACCAGATGTGAGCCCCTCCTGCCATTTTCCAGTGGCCTCTCATGCGCTGTGCTTCCTGCCTCTCTTGTTTTTGTTTTGCAGCAGTCGCCCTCTTCCAGCAGTAGTGTGTTTGGGTCTGGAAACACTGGAAGAGGGGGAGGTTTCTTCAGCGGCCTGGGAGGGAAACCCAGCCAGGATGCAGCCAACAAAAACCCATTCAGCTCGGCCGGTGGGGGCTTTGGATCTACAGCCACCTCAAGTAAGTGGGGGGATTTTCCAGCCCCTCAATTTCCATTGTCTTCCTCCTGGTGTCCCCGACAGCGTCAGTAGCAAACAGAGAGGAAAGACCTGGAATGCCCATTCAAAGATTGGCCCCCAAAACAATGCAGCTTGCTTGGGCGGCTACTTGTTTTCTTGTTTAACAAGCTGCCCTATAATAACACTCAGGCTGCAGGGAGAGGATCCGTGTATCGACTTACCCAAGGCCCCTGCGCGCTCGGGTTTGAAATGATTTGAGGTGAATGCAGCAGATGAGCATCAATGAGCAGCAGCAGAGCCAGCATGGAGGAGGAGCATCTGGATTTCCCTCTGGTGTGGTACCTCCCCCACCCAGTGGTGAAGCTTTCATCATCTTCGTTTCCATTTCTGTTTCATTTGAACTGCTGCCAACCACAAAGTCAGCTGTTCAAGCCCACCAGCCGCTCCTGGGGAGAGACGAGACTGCTCCGTTAAGATTTTACAAAGCCTCAGAATTGACTGTGGCTGTGGGTTTGGTTTTGGTTTTTGATAGTGTGGTTTGTTGGCACCTTCTTCTCTGGCTAATTTTTAAAATTCTGTTGATGATTTATGAAAGAAGCTTGTTTAACCCTTTGGAAAGTATCCTTTTGCCGATGGCGCTGAGGTGGGACGTTAGGAACCTTTCACTGTCATTCTAGCATCTCCCTTAATGTGCAAAACCCAAAAAGACCAAATCCCTTGCCAGCAAGTCGAGTCTGATTCCTAGAGACCCTGTAGGACAAGTAGAACTGTCCGTCGGGTTTCCAAGACTGTCATCCCTACAGAGTCAGCCTTCCCACACCATCTCCCAAGGAAGCAGCCGAGCACTTGACCACTGTGTCGCCAGGGCTCCTTATCTGCAGCAGAGGGTCTGAGTCATAGATGCAGAGCGATTGCACTGCAAACCACACTGATTATTCCCCTCCGAGTAAGGCCCACGGAGTTGAAAGCACTGCTTTCTGTCGCTACCCTCCCTCTGACTTCACAGATGCCACTGTCTGCTCTGGTACTACGGAAGGGACGATGACTTGTCAAGAGACACGTTCCTCTTAGCTCGTGAAGTTTTATCATCAGAAATTGTTGTTGTTCGGCTTTCCGCCTGCCAGGAAGCATTTAGAATCCCAGAATGATGAAGAGAATCTTAGAAATCGAATCCAGTCCTTTTCAAGAGCTTTATGCAAATGAACTGTTGGGCCAAACCCCGACTGGCAAAACAGGTGAAGCAGACTGATTCTGAAGCACTGAGATGCTGCCCATGGCTAATGCCCCTGTCCTTGCCCCGGCCTTCACCACGGAACCTGAGTGCCTCTGCAGCACGCCCCCGGGAAAGAAACACCCCCAAATGGTTGCGTGGGGATTTTCTTTTTTTAACCACAAACCAGAAATTAGCAAATCAAGCTCTACACTGAATCATACATAACATGCGAAACATCCTTTCTCACACAGAGTAGGCACTTGATACTTTGTAGGCTAGTTGGTTAGAAAATTTGAGTGTATTCCACAGATACTGTTTATGAGATTGTGTTACTACCCAAAATTTTAAACATAGGTATGTCGTACCTATCCCTATAAAAGGGTCTTTAATTCTGGCTGAGTCATGACTAATACCATGACTTAACTCTTGAAGAATTGCTTTCTCTTAATCATGGGTTGGTGGAGCTAGCTTGCATCTGCTTAGGAAAACCTGCTGTGAACATCTTGCCCCACCTCTGATCTGTGGCATCACACTGGTAACCTGCAGTCAGCTGTGGTAAGAGCATTTCTACCAAGGAAAACATAAATGCTATACATCAGCTCTTCCTCCTCCCTCTCTACCCACTGTCCTTGCCTGTTAAATGTTGGCTACCTCACTATTGCTTCCATGTCCTAATTCTGGCTTAAAAGAAAGACATTTGAATCTTTTCATGAACTCTTTTGAAGGCCCTCATATAGTCTGACAGATTTACATGACTTGTACCCAAAAACTTTTCATTCATGTTGATTTCTAGTAGTTCAATAAAACCCACTGCCATCAAGTTGGTTCTGCCTCACAGCCGCCCTGTGGGTCTGAAACTGGGGCTCTTGCCGGAACTCGGAAGCCTCCTCATTCGCTCAGGGATAGGCTCATGGGTTTCTGACTGCTGGCCTTGTGGTCAGCACCGTGATGCTTAACTCACTGTGCACCAGGGCTCCTTGTTTTAGTAGGAAGTTTCCCCTTTTCCTTTAATTCTGGATCAGATTCCGTTAAGTGCTTGAAGGAGTGGCCTATCTGGAAGGTCAACAGCTTAAATGAACCGCTTAAAAAGTGGAAATCTGGAAGGAAGTCTTGGCTGGCCTGTTTTATGCGGGGCTTCGAAAAGTTCCCAGGAAAAGTCCATTCTCTGTCATTCCGGTTTTTCCATGTGTTTTTGAAGCACCGTGTTCCTTGCCCTCGGAAGCCATCAGCAAGAGCCCGGTGACAGCACGGCTGCAGACCTTGGCGCTGTTCTCCTGGTTTGAGCTCGCTCTCTTTGTTTCCCTGCTCTGACAAGCATTGAGGGGAGGGAACCAACAAAAGCAAACCTTATTAATCCGAAGAAACCAAGTCTTCTGTCGCTGGATGGGCCAATGCCGCTATGGGCACAGACGCGTTTCGAAACAGGAGATTCCATCATGCCTACACAGTGCTGTAGACTCAGTGCCGTCGAGTCCGTTCTGGCTCGTGGCGACCCTGTAGGACACAGGAGGGCTGCCCCTGTGGGCTCCCAAGACAACAGCTTTTTAAGAGAAACTTCATCTTTCCCCTGGGCAGCGACGGGTGGTTTCTAACTGCTGACCTTCTGGTTAGCAGCCCAGCTTGTAACCACTACACCACCAGGACTCCTGATGCATACATAATGTCTCCACTGCCTCTTGGTTCGGTGTCTATAGAATCATGTCAGAAAATCCTGGGCCTGGGGCCAAAATGGTTAAAAACTTGTCATCAAGATGCACGAGAGTCAGAGTGAGTTTCTGGAGCCTGGCTCCCTTGCACCCTAGACTCTTTGGTTACCCCTTTCTCCCCAGACACCCAGCTGAGGGTGTATTTTTTTCTTTTTCTAAGGAGTAAGGACTTTAGCCTGCTGTGGGTCTCCCTCACACATATTCTTCATCTCTCCAGATACCTCTAACCTGTTCGGAAATAGTGGGGCCAAGACATTTGGAGGATTTGCCAGCTCATCATTTGGAGAGCAGAAACCAGCGGGCACATTCAGCTCTGGAGGAGGAAGTGTGGCTTCCCAAGGCTTCGGATTTTCTACTCCAAATAAAACAGGTATCCTGTGTGTGCCACTTAAGGTTACCTTGACATTGCCTGGTTCAGAGAGAGCCAGGAGCTGATAGCTCCAGGGTGGTTATCTCAGAAGGCAGGTGGGGTAGTTGAAGTCCTTTTCTCCACCAATTCACTTTTTAAAATTATTATTATTTATTGAGCATCTACTATGTTTCTGACACGGCTCGGGGCCCTTACCTAGCATAGGCAAGGCAGTGGATGTTTAATTCTTAAGTCTGTTATTTTTCCCTCTCTTCCCCCAAATCACTTTTCATCCCAGTGTATTACTTTTAAATCATAAATTTATAAACTTGAGTATTTTGTAATCATGCATTGCATTTGTAATTTAAACTTTAAAAGCATACATACACATTCAGAGGAGAAAACATACACTAGACTCTTTATCTCCTTATGGGGGGGAGGGGGGGGGTGCGTCTGCAGCCCTGACCCTGCTGTACGGACCACCAGGTGCACAGAGTGTTCAGAAGGGAGTGAGGAGCAGACTGTGTGCTTAGAACGCAATTCTTAAATGCAAACTCCCCGTGTACCCACAGGCACAGCGCCTCTCCCTGTCCATGCGGTTGTACACACTCCACGTGTGTAGGTGGCTCGGGCTTCAGGTGGGGGGACTGGAATGGCCGGATTTTAGAGCCTAAATTGCACGTGTTTGCAAAAGCTCTGCACTTTAATTCATACCTGTCAGTTGGGTAGGCTAGCCCCTTTGTCAGTTTTTTAGACTCCTTTCCTAGAATTCCTAAGGCCTGAGAAGTGGGCTCTGCAGCCTCGTGTTTAGACCACCCCGGGACCCGGGGGATGAGATAAAAATGATAACGGCCACAGAGCTTTGGCCGTATGTCCTAATAAGGCAAATTTGCACCTGTGACTGAAACTTTTTTGTTCAATAATAATCATCAGGACTTTACTATTATTATTTAAGAATCCGATACTGTTTTCTTTGATGCTTGTGATTGTCCTCATATGTGGTTCCTTGTCCTGGGGTCAAGTTCCAATTGATTTGAAAATTTGACCCCTGTATTTTTCCTTTTTCTGTCTTAAAGAGAAAGTACTCTCCCACTTTGTAGACTGCCTTTCCACTTTGATCGTGACCCGTGGAACCACCTAGGTCTCGCACTCTAGCAGAGAAAGCGCCTTTGAGAGACCTGAGAGGAACAACTAGTAGCCCACCATGTGCAAGTGCGGGTGGGAGGAGCCCCGAAGCCCCCACGTGTCTGTGACGGAGTCTGCCGTGGAGGGTGGCGCCCCGGGGAGCCCCTTGCACAGAAGGAGAGGCAGCGTTGCCCTTGCCAGGCTGCCCCTACAGTGTCGGGCGTCAGGGTCACCGTCGCCGGCCTGAAGGATGATTTTCAGGTTGATAGTTTGGATGAGTCTTTGAAAAAAAAAACCCCAAAATGTTCGTCTTCCCATCAATGTAATTGCCTCAGAAAGTGATACTGGTGGAAAGGAAAGAATAGGGGATGTCCCTGTCGCAGGAGCCAGCAGAGTGACAGGTTTCGTAGAAGTGGAGGGAGGGTGGCGGCGCAGCGGCTTGAGAACCATGTGGCATATGCTGCTCTCCAGCATGTATCTGTGGCTCTGAAGTAAAAGTGAAAAATGTAAAGGATATTTTTCGGATCATGGTGATTTCATTTGTTTGTAAAAATATATTTATGGCTCTCAGATAATCTTTCAGTTGTTGAGAGAGAATTGGCTCTTCCATCTCAGAAATTTGCCGGCCCCTGGTTTAGTGACATTCCCAGCAGTGTCCCTTACCAGCTGGTTACATTCAGGCACATCCGTTTTCCCAGCCGCAGTTTGCTCACCTGTGAAGTAGGCTAAAATGAACTGCAATGAAGCACCTGGCCCAGAGCCGGCCGCCCCTCCGTGAAGTGGCAGCTGTATTATTGCTGACGGCTATTAAGTTCTTGTTTCTGGTGGGGAAGAGGATTGTGAAAATATGGGACCTCATAAAACCCAGTCCCCTGCGCGTCAGGAGGAAGGTGTCCACCTCCCTCATTGAGCCAAAAAGACCACTGGCAGCCATCGCATTGGGCTGTGGGCCAGGTGGCTCATTGTTTGGGGGCATTTTCCCTGTCGGCGCTTGATGAAGCTCCCGTGCTCCGCTGTCCGGTTTACCGTGTTTCATTGTCACGTCTCAGTTTTCACTCGCCTCCCACCAAGAAGTCTAAACAATGTGGCGTCGAAGGCACTGATAAAGTGCTGTTTGTTGAAGAAGGCAGTGTAACGAAAGCTGTGATCGGTTGTAAATAATTCAAGCGCAAGGTTTTTTTTTTTCCAGTCTGTTATATTTGTAACCCAGCAGTTTCCATTATCATGGCTTGGAATTTCACTCATGGTTTGAAAAGCAGGATGCTACCCCAACACGAGCTTAGCAAAAGTTCTTTCTCGGTTTTGCTACCCTCTCAGTGGTAAATAAACAAATAATTGGATCTCAAAATAACAGTGAGCAAGCGCATGTAGCTGCTAGCTGTTCGGATGCAGTATGAGATCCTGCCTGGCACCAGTAGCGGAAGCTTGTGTCCAGTAAAATAGCCCAACTCGTCAGATTGGCTTCTGAAAAAAGCTTCTCAGCCCCCTGGTGGTTCCTAGACCCCCCCCCCATTACTCACTTTAGCAGCTAGTTCATCGACCAGTACTCATTGTAAGCAGTTCTCGACTTCCTGGAAAAAGGCCAATCCCCTCCAGAGCTGCACGTCTGGTATTGCTCTGTCCACTGGTCAGCAGGCACTCGAGCGCCCGTGTGACAAACACCTTTGGATGGCTTAAGCACTGGTAGCTTGGAGAAGCAGAAAGGATAGGGAAGAGGGGGTGGGCATTCATCTTCTCAACCTGCCAGGCATCCCCCCGCCTGAGGAGACTGCTGCCTGGCACAGCGTGGCTCTGTCCTGTGTGACCACCTGTTGGGAGCCTGCAAAAAATGGCCCCCACCCTGCCACCATCCCCGTCCTTGGTCTATTCTGTGGGTTCTGCTGCAAACTTCCTCCAATGAAGGAATTTTGGTTTGTGCTTTTTAGGGAGGAGTCATTCCTGACTGCAGAAAGAAAGCGGTTTCTCTCTTTTTTAATTCATTTATTCTCGTGTGCAAAGAGAGAGGGGCTGGGAGCCATGTGAGGGCCCTTGGGCTTTAAATAAGTAAAGGCCCTGGCTGAGCACTGGAGCCCGAGACTCAGCAGCTTGGCTGTCACCAAGCAGAGTCTCTCTGCACAAGGGGCTTGCAAGCCTCTGCCGCTTAAATAATTTGGCTTCCCACGGAACTAGATCCCTTGCCAGTACATGTTGATGAGGAATACAGTCTTTTGACAGCTGGGCAGGGATTGGAGCTCTCCACGAGGAAGCGCAAAATGGCTCAAAGCAGAGAAAGGGCCAGCCAAGTCCCGGGTTGCACCTTGGTGGTCGTCTGGTCTCCAGTGACCACTCAGGGGTTGGTGGCATCCAGCTAGCGTGCCTGCAGAAGGGCCTGGGGGTCTCTGGGTCAAACACGGGGTCAGACTAGAATTCCCAGCACGCCTCGCCCTCTGTTGGAAGGGGGAGGGGTGGTATGGTTTGGTGAGTTTCGGTAAGGTTTGTTTGCTGATAGAAAGGTGTTGCCCTATGTTATGGTTATTTGCATTTGAGTTTCTAACATCATGTTTCCCCCCCTTTTTTCCCTCTTTTGATTTGGTTTCCTACCACTTAATGCCTTCACTTCCCGTCTCTTTTCTTTCTCCCTGCTCCTCTTTGTCGCCTCTGTTTTGCTCAGGTGGCTTCGGTGCTGCTCCAGTGTTTGGCAGCCCTCCTACTTTTGGGGGATCCCCTGGGTTTGGAGGGGTGCCAGCATTCGGTTCAGCCCCAGCCTTTACAAGCCCTCTGGGCTCGACGGGAGGCAAAGTGTTCGGAGAAGGTACTGCGGCCGCCAGCGCTGGTGGATTCGGGTAAGCCCCCCGGGGGGGACCTGGGGATGCCAACTGCTTATGTCAGCCAAAAGAGCGGGGCCCACTGTTCTTGTTTTGGAAAGAAGGTTCTTTATGTTCTCCCCACCTCCTGGCTGTGAGCTGACACCCGACCCCCAAATCAGTTAGCAGCTTGCCACAGGTTCCGGACCCTCCTGTTGTCACACCTGGCTCTGCTGACCTCAGCAGTGTTGCTCTCCCCTGATGGCCACAGAGCCCCATGCTCCTGGTAGAACTGGTTACATGGGTGTAAATCGTCTTGCTTTGGCTATCTTGTGAGAACGAAGTCCTGATAGCACAGTGGTTGGCGGCCACCCACAAGGTCCTGAGTTTGAAGGCGCCATCCTCTCTGAGAGAGAAAGTTGAGGCTGCCTGCGTCCGTAAAGGTGAAACCGTGGGAAAGCCTGTGGGTGGTTCTGCCCTGAGAGCAGAAGTGGGACCAAGGAGACAGGAGTGGGGGGTTGGTTGTGCCCTGTGCGGTCACCCCTGTGAGGGGGTTCTGAATGAGTCGTTCTCACCTGTTTGCTTTCCCATGACTCACGGTCCTTAGAAGCCAGCAAACAACTAGCTATGGAGGTCAGTCAGCCCACTGTCTCATGAGCCCCCAGCCCGCACCCCCCTCCCCTCCACCACCAGCTCTCACTGCTGTCCCTTCAGCTGTGCACACATCCGTCCCTGAAACACTCACCCCGGCATTTGTCGTCAAGTCCCCGGAGCTTCTGTCTGGTTGCCCAAAAAAACCCCGATGAGAACATGGCCTCTGTCCAGACCAACGTTCCAGTAAGACTGATGTGATGGTGACTACAAACCGCCTCTCATACGAGGGAGGTACTAATACCTGAAAGTGACTGGTAGCCCTCTCGCCGCTGGAACTGGCCTTAGGAAGGGGAAGGCGGCAAAGCTGGGGAGCGGGAGGATTTTCTTTGAGGGACTTGGAAAGGTTCCTGAGATGCGTTTGGCCAGGCGATGGCATCTTTATCTTGAAAATAGAGTGGAGCGTGTTCTGTAAATAACCAAGGTGGGGTCTGCCCCCTGTGGCCTCACTCACTGAGCTGTCCGTGAACAAAGCCTGCACTGAACTTCCGAGACGAGAAGACCCACGGGCCTGCCCAGAGAGTCTGCGTGAAAACCGATAGGACGCTGCCATCCCTCTTCTCCGCATGCGCGGGAGAAACAACGGGCTCTGAAAGGGCAGGTCCTTGACCCCAACGTCCAGGTCATGTACTGGACCCCTTTTCATGAGTGGGTGCAGGCCCCCTCACCTTCTGCTGACTCGCTCCTGCCCCCTTGGCAAAGGAGGGGAGGTACTCTCGTCCAGGGCCGTTGGTGAAGAAGGGGGGATTTGTTCTAACCTCTTTTGGGGGTCCTTTTTTGTTTTTTAATTTAAAAAAATATTTCAGATAGCATTCACATGTCATAAAATTCATCCTTTTAAAATGTACGATGTGGTTTTTAGTGTATTCATAGACTTGCACGGTCTGGTTCCAGATTTTCAGTACTCCAGAAGAGCCCTGCACCACTAGCAGCCAGTCCTGCCCGGGGCCACACCAACACCCTGACCGCTGCCTCAGACCCATTATCCTCCATTAGTTGCTAACCGGAAGGCTAGCAGTTCAGGCCCACACAGCCACTCCACAGGAGCAAGACAGTCTGCTCCCGTAAAGAAGACCAGACTCCACGCCCAGCCAGCCAATTCCAATTCAGAGCAGCCCTACAGCACCCAGTTAGAATCTCCTGCTTCGCCCCCAGAGGGCTGCTCAGGCTGCGATCTCTGGACGCTGACTTCCACACCTTTCTTTTGCTGAGCAGCTAGCAGGTTTGAACCACCAGCCCTATCTAGTAGCTGCGTGCTTTAACCAGTGCACCACCGGGACTCCCCTAAAGATTACAGCCAAGAAAACCTCGTGAGGCTGTTGGTCCTCTTGTCACATGGCGTCTGTGAGTCCTAATCAACTCGATGACACCTAACCACCCCCACCCACCGTGGTGCTACTGCAGACGGACCACGTGAAGACGGCAGGGAGGGGCGCTCATGTGCTGCTGCCTGGCTCTCAGGAAAGGCCCAGCGAGGAGAGTTGAGTAAAGCTTCTGAAGCAGACCTGGGAGACACGGAACTGGTGTCCTTGGCCGGCCTGCTGGCCGGCTGAGCCCTGATTCCCTCCGAGCTTGCCTTGCACACGCTGCCATGCACTTGGCGAAGGTTGGGGGTGACTGGGCTCCTGGGGTTTTATTTAGTGGCGAGAAACCAGTTCTTTTCTGTGCTCGGAGGAAAGTCTCGTCTGTGAGTCCGTTTGGCTCTCCCATATGCATCCTGGCTGCCTAGCTGGTTGGTTCCCTTTTATAGACCAGGACGGACTAGTACCTGTTCCGGAAGGAGACCTCTCGAAGAGCGAGTTGTCAAGAGGTTGTTCCTGACCCAAGCAAGCCGTGTGAGCAGTCTGCCCGTGGTGGTGTCTGCCCCGTCCACAGCAGCACTGAAGAGAAGGGAGGGAGGGGGAGAGTGACAAAGATAGAACGATGGTGCGGGCAGCAGCCTTGTTGGAGACAGGGAGCGCCAGAAGATGGATGCCGCCTCATTCCCAGATGGCCTGACGTTTGTTCCTAGGCAGCAGGCGGTACTCGACCGGGGCACTGGTTGGGGCCCATGTCGTCTTCTATTTTTCTTCCCCAAACTGAGGGTACATCTCTGCCCTGTGCAGTGCTCTGTTCTTTCCGTGCGACTGCCTGCTTCAATTGAAGCCAGTCCCCTGTGATCACGTCTGCCCAGCCACCTGCGTTACAACAGTGGCCTGAGGCCTTCTCGTGGTCAGCGACAGAGCAGCCCCTCACCACAGCCCCCTGTCTTACTGGAACCCAGGTTTGGCAGCAGCAGCAACACCACGTCCTTCGGCACCCTGGCGAGTCAGAATGCGCCCACGTTCGGATCGCTGTCCCAGCAGACGTCTGGCTTCGGGACGCAGAGCTCTGGCTTCTCTGGCTTTGGATCTGGTGGAGGAGGAGGTAGGCAGCCATTCCTCCCTCACAGGCACCACCCACCTTTCCCGCGCTGGCACTGAATACAGGGAGGCCTTTTCTTCCAAAGAAATGAGGTTCTTTGTTGTAAGCTTTGGAGTTGTTGTTTTGGTGTTGTTTTTAAAAGTTGAGAGCCATTTAAAAATGAAATATTCTTTTTAGGTTTTAATTAGACTTGTAACATTGTACCGGTTGTTAGCAAATAAAGAGTATGACTGGCTGGATTAAATCTTCCCTCACGATTTAAGAACCAAAATACCGCAGTCTTACTGAACTGGGGTCCAAACTCCATGCCAGCGGCCCCAAAAAGGTGGCATCTGGAGACTCCCAGACTGCCTTTGCATCTGGCTCTGTATCACCCCAGCAAACGTGTGGGAAACCGTCAGGCAGCATCCTTTAACAAAGGAGGAAGCAAACAGCCTCGAGGCGCAGGGTCTTGAGCGGCCTCAGGGAGAAAAAGAGGAGAGCTCCCGAGTGCTACCTACACACATGGACTCTGTGCCACAGGCTGCCCTCTGCCGCCCTGCCCAGCAGCGCAGCAGGGCAGAGCCCCTAAAATACCCAAATGGCATGCCTTCCACTCCAAGCGCTTTCCCCTGATGGGGCTGGTCGCCTCTGGAGGAAAGAGCCACTTCTTCCGGTCCCTTCTGCGCATCCAGCCGGCGGGGTGCAGAAGTGGGGGACTTTCCATAGGAAATGAGGCGGGGGCAGGGCACTTGGCCCAGGGCCCGCACCTGTGTCTCGAGTGTTAGATCTGCCCTGAGCTGGTCCTCTTCGTCTGTTGTTGTTGTTGACCTTCGTTTTGTTTTGCAGGGTTCAGCTTTGGATCGTCTAACTCGTAAGTGCTGTCCCCGGCTTTGAGCCTGGCTTGCATTTAAATAAGGATGGGAAGTGTGGTATGTGCAAAGACAGCGAGTGAGGTTCTCCTGCCTGGTGCCTGTGTGCAGCAGTGTCCACTGGGGAGACTCTTCTTCAACTAAGGCTTGTCCTGGGAAGCCTGGGCTTTCGGTGGCACGGTTGGGGTTCTGACTGCGGTGGGTGTGGACTGGCTAGCCTCGTAAAGAAGCCAGACAGGAGGGAGGGCAGCCACGTCCTTGTCCAGGACAGTAGAGGAGAATGTGCCTTCCCGAGGGAGGGCCTGAGAGAGGCTGCCCTGCCTGTCCTCATGAGTCTCCAAGGCTTTCTGCCGAGCACACGCCTCTAGGCCATTGCCAAGCCTTCTTTTTGGACGCTTCTCACAGGATGCTTCTGGGTAGAACTGCAGCAGCATTAAGCACAGAGTGTGAACCTTGAGCACGACAGTTGCATAAGCTCCAGAGCCCTGCCTTCCTCAGTAAGAAGCCTCCGTTGACCCCGCCCCTCTCCCCGGTGCTTCCTTGCAGGTCTGGCCAAGGCTTTGGTGGATGGAGAAGCTGAGTGGGCGTGGGCGTCGTCAGCGTCCCATTGCGTTCCGGTCACTGACTGACTGCGTTCTCAGCTCCTTCCCACAGAAATCCTGAAGCAGACTTCTCAAATGGACCTGCCATGCGGAAGCGCACGCGCTTTTACACACACACCCAGAAAGAAACAACAGAAACCAAAAAAACGATTGCTTGTCTGCTTTGTTCTGGGTTTCGGTTTTGTTTGCCCGTTTGTTGAGCTGTTCTGTCTGCTGTGATACAGAAGCTATGTGGGGTTAGGATTACAGCCACTGCAAAAGGTACTCCCTTGTCTGTGGCTCTGAGAAACCCCACAGCCGTCTTTATCAGCCAGCAACGTATGGCACCACAGTAACCAGCATAGCATTCCAAGACAGGGCTTCTGCCGGGGAGCTGAATGCTGGAGGGCCATCTTCCTGAGATAACAGCTCCGTGTCTCCTCAGCATGTCCTTAGTTGTCGTGCGTCAGGGCCCTGACATGCTGGCCCTTTTGACCGGGCGGAGGCACCCGAACTCCCGTTGCAGCGGCGTCAGTTGAGTTTCAGGGGCAGGTCCTGGTAGCTGTGAGGCAGCCACGAAAGGAGGCCAGGAGGAGGGTGGCCGGCGCCTTGCCTCAGAGAGACTCCACGACTGAGCTCTGACCAACGGTATGCTGCCTCTGAAGGCCCCTGTTGACCTCTGTGTGACTCTTGGGCACTGTGTGTCCCACAGCTCCTTCCTTCTACTCTGGAGAGGAGGTGGCCCTTATCTCCAGGATGTGATAAGTGACACTGGTGACTGTGCCAGCACTCTCTCAGCCACAGTGTGATAACCCTTGGGGCAGCCCTGCTCTTGCCAGACGAGGCTGGACTTGGACAGTGTTTGCTAGCGGAGCCGGTGGAGTGGACTGTGTCCCCCTAGAAGGCCATATCTTTTAGGAGTCGGGGTGAGACGTCCGTATCTCCCAGGCCCAGAGGGTGGCAGTACTTGGGTGGAGTCCATGGCTGGAGGGGTTGGGGTGGGGGTGGTTTGAAAGGGGCCTTTTAGAGTTTTGCATATTGGAAAGTTGTATTTTACAATGTTTTAATAAAAAAGGTTTACGTGTGATATTAATCTGTCACATGAGCCCCGTCTGACCATCTTGGTTCTGTTGGCTGGTCTGGGCAGGTAGCCCGAGTGGGCTTTGCCCTGCGCCACACGCAGCCTGGTCTGGGGCCTGAGTCCCGACTGCGCATCAGACTCGCACTCACTAGGAGCCCATTGTCCAGTGTGGACTCCCAGGCTGCAGACCGGGCATCCTGACTCAGTGGGGTGGAGATTGGAGATGGTTCCCCCAACTGCATTCCCGTGGTATCTGCCTCTCCTGGAGAGGAGGCTCCGTCCGTCCGTCCGTCCGTCCGGTATAGCACTCTTGGGTTTCAGGAGTCCGCCCTGAACCAGCTGTCAGCAGAGCTAAGAACTGGAATTGGATCCTGGTGTGTCCAGCCAGGGTTGGCCGTCCTCCCTCCTACGGCCTACGGCCTCTGCGGTCTGTGAGTAGACAGTCTGGGTCTCCATGCTGGCCGTCACCTTCGGGTGCTGCCTGTGGGAGAGTCTGGGACTTCGGAGTGCATTCTGTCTTCTTTAGTCTTTGCAGAAGTGGTGGCCTGTCACCTGCTTCCATCCTGCCCTCTCGTAAAGCTCCTCAGCCACTAAATGGGGGCCACCAGGTTGGCTGCAGGGCGGGCCCCGAGAGCCCTCTCACTCAGCTTGGGCTGGACGCCCCACGTGCTTGTGTCATCTTGGGCACAGTGTTGGTGGGAAGCTGAGGGAGGAGAGGGCACATGATGTGATGAGAGACCAACCCCCAGGCCTTTCCCCTCGGGTTCCCCCCAGGCTCTGTTTTATAAATAGAACTGGGTTCAGCTGAGCCCCTTGACCTCAAATTCTCTACGTTAATCCTCCAGCGAGGTGGCAAGTGACAGCTCTACGTAAGGCATCGCAGCTGTGCTGTGCCAGATAAGGCCCCACCCATCGATGCTAGGGGGTGGCGGTAGCGGAATGTGCTGCTGGTGGCGCCCAGCCCCTTGAGCTCCTCCTCTGGGGGTTGAGTACAGCGATAGAAGACTGGGGTCATCTTGGAGCACAGCCCGGGTACACCCTGAAACCCAGTCTGCCAGGATGTTGGACTAGGAACGCGCAGCAGCTCCCGCCTGCCAGGGAGAAGCTGGCAGGGCTTGAGCCTTTCCAGAACACGGGCAGCAGGGTCTGGGAACAGGTGACCTGCCAAGAAGACCACATCACAGCGGCCGCCCTCAGCCCCCTGAGGGCTGCATGGAGTGGGGGCCAGGTCTTCAGGCGTAGCGGAGAGAGTCTGTTCCGGGGCTAGAAAGCAAAGAGGCTGAGCCGGTTTCATGAGGTGGGGATGTGCGTGGCCTGTCCGGTGCATTCGTACCTGGTGCGTCTGCTTCGGCGACAGCAGTGGCGGAGGCCATGGGCTGGATTTCCGGGGCACAGGTAGAAACAAACTAGCAAAGGAATGCCCCCTGGTAGGCACAAGAGCCATGTCACCTCGTGAGGGCCCTGATCCCCTCACCGTCATGGCAAGAGTGGGCCCTGCAGGCTGATCCTGACCCTACCCTTTCATGGCTCCATGACCCGAACAAGACAGTTGTCCACTGCGTGGCCTGGGTTTCCCCCTCAGTGGTGAGGTCCAGTGAAAGCAGTGTCCCGAGGATGAGACGAAAGGACATGCGGGGCACCAGCCACAAAGTAAGCGAGCAACGTGGTAGTACTGTGGTTAAGCGCTTGGCTGCTGACCAGATTCGGGGGAGCACCCGGTGGAGAAAGACCCGGCGGCCTGCAGCCAGGGAAGCCTGCGGGGCTGCGCTGTCCTGTCATGGAGGCCCCTGAGTCGGAACGGACTCGGTGGGACCCAGCCAGTGTTGCCTCTGACACATGGACTGGATAGTGCAGCATCTCAGCGTCCACCTGGCTCGTGGGCCCCACCCCATGGACTCAGATTCTGACTCGGTGGGGCCAGCAAGGTCCTTCACTGGGAGCACCTAGCCAGCTTCCCCGCGGCTCTGGCATTGCCACGTCCCTGGACCACGTTTTTAGAAAACCTTCCCACTATAGACAGTCATCGCTAGCCCCCACCTGCATGGTGAGACAGAACCTGCCGCCCCGGAATGTCTACTTTGCAGGTAGTCCAGGTTAAAATCTGCTGAAATCATTAAGAGTCACATTTAGATGTCAGCTGCTCCCTGGGGTCATCTGCCCATCCTCGTAAGTGCTCCCCCAGTGAATACCATAGGGGTATTCCCACCTTCCCTTGTCTTACAGTCTAACTCCTCGCCCCTGCTTTATCTTTCTGGTCATTTTTCCAAATTAATACTTCACCGAATAAAGGGTAACAGCTTTGTCCTGCTGAGGTTGAAGGAGGTTTTCTCCCACATTTTGCCAACTCCGGGTTTTCACGGGTCACTTCCAACAGGACGTTTGCTCGTTCACGAGTACAACAGGCTCCGGCTCGTGTCCGAGGCAGGCCTCCTGCCCAGGACCTTTGCCCAGGTTTGCGGCAGCTGCCCTGGGACGGAAAGAAGGATGCTCTGTCTGGAATCTGCTGGATCGCTCTCCGCCCACACCCTTCCCTGGCTCGGCCTGGCCTTTCAGTGGGGACCACATCCCTGGTCTCCCTTGAAACATCTATGGGAAGTTAGTGTCCCACCCAAAGATAAAGACCCTCGTGGGCCAAATGAGTGAGGGGCTTCTCAGATGAACTGCATACAATTTGACATTTCTACTGAGGGGCTGCTGTGAGCCTTTACTATGTAAATATTTTCTGTAAGTCAACAAAATGAAGTGGTCTGCTGTCTCCTAAGTGGTTCTGACGGGACGTGTTGGCTTTGAGTCGGGTCCCAGGAAGTCCCAGACAGCCAACTGACTGGTCCCTGTGAGCCATTTCTAACACCTGTTCTTCGATTTGAGCGTCCTAGCTAGGATTACTGAAGCACATTTGTGACAAATAACATCAGAGCACTTCACAAACATGCTCACAGCTAACCCCCCAAGCTAGGTACCATTACCAAAGTCTTTCGGATGAGGGAAGCTGTGAGGCACTGGCCAGGAAGTGATGGAGTCCAAATTAGAACCCAGGACCGGTCCCCTGGCCTGGTGTTTGTGAGGCATGCGTGTGTGCATGCACGCACGCGCACACACACACACACACACCCCGACCTTGGCTAACAGGGTGGGAGCAGCCTTCTAGGCTGTCTGATTTGACACTGCTTTTCTTTCCTGAGACACGCGTGCACTACAGAGGAGCTGCAGACCTGCCCTCTGCCCGGGACACTGCACAGCGCCGTAGCGGAGAGAGTGAATGGGCTTGCGACCCCAGGCACGGTGAACCTTCTTCCCTCTGCATGCTCAGCGCCTCCGTGCCATTGGCTCTAGCCTGGTGCGCATGTGTGCCCATCATTGCTTCAAATGGGCCAGGGGGGCCAGAGGCCGCGCCTGCTTAAATTGGCACGCACCATGTGCAGATGGGGGCTTTTTGGTGTAGAGCCCCTCCCCTCGGAGTCAGCTGGCCCCAAGCCCTTCAGCTGTCTCTCTCCCCCCTTCTTTTGCCTTCTGCCCCGCACCTCCCCCAAGGTCTGCCTTTGAGGCTTTCCAGGGTGCCGAGGGAGGTCAGGCCACAGACCACCACTGCATTGCTCCAGCTCCTCTGCTTATAAATAGAAAGTCCTCCACGCCGCAGCCTGGGCCGGAGATTCTCCGCATTGTTCTGGGCCCTCCACTGCCGGCTGCCACAAAGCCCACCTAGGGACACAGCAGGGCGCCCTGCCCATGGTGCCCCAGCCAGCTTATTGCTGTCCCCTCTAATGCTGCTTCATAGCTGGGCCTGGCCTTGGGTTTTAGTCTGGACACTCGGGGAGGGAGTTTGACTTACCAGGTCAATGCTGGCCACGCCTACAGGTCAGAGGCCCTGGTTCCTGCCTACGCCACCGTCCCCTCGCCTGCAAAGCACAGTTCTCTGAGCCCTTCGTACCTCAAGACGGTCCAGACCCCCCTTCCCACCCGGCCGCCTGCACACCCGACGGCTGTGTGAGGAGCACCCTCAGGCTGCCCCCGCCCATCCTGCCAGGCACTGTAAACCTGCTTCCTTGGCCAGCCACCCACGCAGGTCCCTGGCCCTCGCCAGCCCAGCGCCCTCCTCCCACTGCGCTATTTTGAGGAGTATCATAGTAACTCATTGCTTCCTTGATCTCATCTGTTGCCCCTCTTCTACAAGTCAGCACCATCTGAGCAGGGACTGTGCTGGCCTGTCTGCCCAGTCGTCGTCCCCCTCCCCCTCCCTGACAGGGCCTGGGCAGAGGCTGCCCGGCAGAGGACCGACCGCCTAGAAGGACTTCCAAGAAAGAGCCGGAACTTGCTCAAAAGCCAGACTCCAGCGAGGATGACAAGGCTGGGAGGCAGGGGTGAAAGACAGCTCAAGGGCGTCGAGCCAGCCGCACCGTACCGCCCCCCACCCCCCCAGCACACAGGCAGGTTAGTATCAGAACAGGCATGGGGCTGGCCCTGAGCTGCCCAGGGCATCATACAGTGAGCAGCCCCTCCCTGCCCGGTGGGCCTCTGGTTCTCACCACCCACAGAACACCTTAGCTCTGGGCCAGAGTGAGGTCAGAGGACGGTGGCCCGGAGCCAATGGTCTCTCTCTGGCTGACTGGCTAGCTGGCACAAGTTGCCTCAGCTGTAGCTGCCATCATGTGGTCTGACCATAGAGGGCCACCCGGCATCCTCACGGTGACTCCCTGGCATCACCGCGGGGCCCAGCAGACAGCAGCCCTGCCAAGCAGACCAGGCACTGGCCCACTAGGGCTTCCTCCGAAGCACGGATTGGCAGAGACCACGTAGCAGGTCAAACCAGGCAGTTGGGCAGCATGAGCTGAAGGATACCTGGCCCGTTTCCCTCTCAGCCTTGGCCTGACCTGTGGGTGCAGGGCTAGCCAGGGGAAGCCCACCTGTCACCCTCTGACCCTGCAGCGCTGGGGTCATAGCTCACACCCCAACAAAGCCA